GGCCAGGTCATGCTTATCTAAGGATTCTCTAATTGGATGCCATGAAGTGATGCACTTAACACAAGCCACAATGTAAGAAAGAAATGACAAAATGAAGCAAAGCCAAAAACAAGATAACTTGGGGGTTGGGGTGGGAAGAATAAAAGCTAACTGAAGATAGTTAAAACTCAGAGCATTACTTACTTGAACTCAAATCACATAATTGGATTTTGGCCAATTGGAACTTGGTGTACTACTCAATTGTTGTCTAGTTAAGATAGCTTGTTTACCAAGAGACTGGTCAGAATATGTTTGAATCCAGATATTCATTCAATGGACATGCTAATGATGAGCAATTAAATTATTTGCAGCTTTGAAAAGTCTGTTAGGCATAGTTGTCTAAAATAATTTTCCCTTGAAAACTCACTAATAATGGGTTTTTTTTTATTATTGCAGTAACATTGGTGTATAACATTACATAAATTTGGGTGTACATCATTATATTTCGATTTCTGTGTAGATTACATCATGTTCACTATCCAAAAACTAATTACAATCCATCACCATACATGTGCCTAATCACCCCTTTCACCCTCCCCCCTTTCCCCGCTAATAATATTTAAAAATTCACAAGGTATTGCCTGTTTGCTCACATTATAATCAGTTTTGCAGTCACACACCCTATCAAAAATCCAACACCAATGCTGTATCAAGAGTGCAACATGAGGGCCGGCCCTGTGGCTTAGCAGTTAAGTGCACGTGCTCCGCTGCTGGCAGCCCGGGTTCGGATCCCAGGCGCGCACCGACACATCGCTTCTCCGGCCATGCTGAGGCCGTGTCCCACATACAGCAACTAGAAGGATGTGCAGCTATGACATACAACTATCTGCTGGGGCTTTGGGGGGAAAACTAAATAAATAAATAAAATCTTTAAAAAAAAAAAAAGAGTGCAACATGAGGGGCCGGCCCCATGGCTTAGGGGTTAAGTGCGCGTGCTCCGCTGCTGGCGGCCCGGGTTCAGATCCCGGGCGCACACCGGCACACCGCTTCTCCGGCCATGCTGAGGCCGTGTCCCACATACAGCAACTAGAAGGATGTGCAGCTATGACATACAACTATCTACTCGGGCTTTGGGGGAAAAAAATAAATAAATAAAAATTAAAAAAAAAAAGAGTGCAACATGAGGAAATTTGGGGAACATTAGATTGATTCAATTGCTGCAGGGCTTAAGCCAATTCACACAGCATCATAAAGTTATTTTTTGACATCTGCTTTATCAGTCAATAAGTGCAGGAAGACAAAGGCAATCTAAGAAGTGGTGTTTCTTCCAAGAAGTTGACAATCTGAGGAAGAAAAACATGTATGATAGAAGCCAGAAAATAATTCAAATGCTAAAGTGCCATAATGTCTCCAAATACAAAAGAAGTTCCAATGAGTGTGGCTTAAAACTGAGGGTCTGAAGTGAGCTTTGGCAGACAAGGATTTGAATGGGTAGCTGGCAAGAGAAGAGAAAGGGCAGCCTACAAAAGAGAGAAAAAGATGGTTAAGAGAGGGCAAGAGAACTGGAAACAGTTGGGCTCTGTAACCTGGGGTAAAATGGCATTTAAGTGTTAGGAACGTGAATACAATTAAGTGCTGGGAACCACAGCAAAAGTGGAGCTTTCTCTTCACAGGAAAATGTCTTAATTCCTATGATTATCAGTTACAACTGAATACTGACAGATCTCTGATTTGTTACTAGACACGTGGAGTTGTCTTTGCCTCAAAAAGCCTGTAGCCTCACTTTCTATTTCAATGTCTAGAAATAAATTTAAGCCAGAGAAATTAATTTCTCCCCCATGAAACACTGAGAAATTCTGGCTACAGAATGAATTGTGTGGTGTTCTTGACCTAGATATTACTTGAATGACAGGGAAGAATGAGGAGTCAAATAATGAGAGAGGCTGAATAAACTTATGATGCCAAATTATGTAACTGCAATTTTCACTTTAGCTCTGACATCAGGGATTTTCCCATTTACTGAAAATACACAGTCGTGATATTCTTTCCTTCACTTTTCTAAAAATAAACTTTTTATTCTAGAAGTTTTAGATTTATAGAATTACTGCAAAGATAATCGAGTTCTCGAATACCCTGCCCCCAATTTCCCCTATTAAGAGCTCACATTAAAAAAGAAGGGCTTACATTAGTATGATAGTTGCCATAATTAATGAACTAATATTGATACATTAACTAAATTCCACACTTCATCCAGACTTCTTCAGTTTTTCCCTCATGTCCCTTTTTATGTTCCAGAATCTCATTTAGTTTACATCACATTTAGTTGTCATGTCTCCTTAGGCTTTTCTTGGCTGACAGCTTCTCAGATTTTTCTTGTTTTTCAAGACCTTGACAGTTTTGAGTACTGGTTAGGTATTTTGCAGACTGTCCCTCATTTGGGATTTGTCTGACGTGTTTCTCATGATTAGACAGGGTTACGTGATTTTAGAAGGAAGACCACAGAGGCAAAGTTCCATTTTCATCTCATCAAATCAAGGGTACATACTATCCACATTATTTATCACTGGTGATGTGGACCTTGATCGCCTGGCTGAGGGAGCTGGGCAAGTTTCTGCGCTGTGGTTACTCTCCCTCCCCTCCCGGCCACACTGTACTCTTTGTAATAAAGTCACTATGAGCAACCTACACTTATGGAGTGGAGAGTTATGTTCTACCTCTGAGGGTGGAGTATCTACAAAACTTGGAATTCTTCTGCAGATTTTTCTTTTCTCCTACTCATTTACGTCAGTAGGGACTTGTGAATATTTTATACTTTGGGTTATAATCCAACCCTACCTTATATTGTTGCTCTGACATACTCCCAGCATTGTAGGATTTTTTAAATCACTTCCTTACTTTCTGACACTTGTAAGATGCTCCAGGCTTATTTTGTGTATTTCCTGCCCCAGTCCTAGAATCAGCCATTTCTCTAAGGATCCCCAGTTCTGTTCATTGGAGGATAGTATCAGAAACCAAGATCAAGGCCCTAGATGAGCTTGTTGCTAGTGGATAAAATCAACTTATAGTGTTTCCTTTTTTAAAAGGAAAAAAAAAAGTTAAAAATCCAATTCTTGTTTTACCTCTGATAATAAAACTAGCATATGCAAATTACCTCTACAGCGTTTTCATCTAATGATCTTGAAAAGGTTAACGCAGTATGTGTCTGTAGCAATCAGAAAAAACAAATCAGCATTCATGAAATAATGCCTCCCTTCTAATCATATTTTTTAAATAAATCCCTCTTTTTTGTCTTAAACAAAGGTAGGTATTGGTTCAATGTGGGAACTGGTTTTTTATTAACTGCCCTGATAAAACAGACCCTTTTAAATAGTTTTGGGAATACAATTTGTTAATTGTTTTTGCTATTGTAGGTGAAGAAGCAAGGCATCACACGAATCTTTTAGGCACTTTTTATTTTCCAAAAAAAATTGTCGTTAATATATAAACATCTCATTCTCTCAAAAAATTCTACAACTATACAGCTGTTTGCTCCATTATTTGCATAGGAAATGACCACAATACAAAAATAAGAGGGAAAAAGAAGCAAAACAGCAACCGATTTATGCTTTTTATGTAGGTATGTTTCCACGTATAAACATTTTGAAGCCTCTTACAAAATATTTACACCGTTCGTCATCTATTTACATGTTTTAAGAGCAACGTTTCTAACAAACAAAACTATAATTTATCAAGTTATGAAAATTTTCTAAAAAAACTTACTATATTACCACAAAATAAATAAAGATAAACAATATTTTAAAAACAAAATTAAATTTTCATTTCAATTAAGACCCCTTTTGGCGTTTTGCTTATTCTGCCCTTTGGTTAACAGCATCAGCATCACATTACTATTTTATATTGCATATATGTAGCACTTGCTTCCTTAAGTTTTCAACATGTCATTTGTAATTAAAAGCAGACACTGAGTCAGTATTAACAATAGATTAACTAAACTGCACCGTAATTTAGGTAAAATTACTGTGTCTAACTGTATATTACATGCAAAATCCACATAAATTGGCATTTAACCAACAGTCCCGCACGAGCAAACATCTCTGTTGCTAGGTATATGAAAACTGCATCATAAATTCAACATTGCCATGTGAAAACTACATAAGTCCTTCTTAAAAATGATACTGTGTTTAGCTTATTGTAAGAGGTTTAACTTTTATATATTGTAACTATCTTTAAGCTCTGGAGTTCATAATTCATATAAAATGTCTTCCATATTTAAAATAAACAATCCTATTTTAATCAGTGCATGAAATCTGCTTTTAACGTTCATTTGAATGATTATTTCTTCCCCCTAAAGAAATGAATTTGGTAAGGTTCTAAGAGGTATCTTACCACAAATTCTAACTGTAAATGTATTCATGGTTATTTCCAAAAGAATTATTTATGATTTTTCCCCAAAAGAATCTTAGAAAACTTGTAATAAACCTATAAAGCTGATCTGCATATTTACAAAATTTTGAATAGCAAATATAGGCAACTCATATAAAAAAACAAAACAACACATTTGTTCAATGGCTATTTGTGAATTGCCAGGTACACTGTGCACCTCTAAGGAATTATCTAATATTGAAAAAATTACTCAATGTCAAGTAAAATCTTGACATACAATCCAGTCTTCTTCCAGTGCCTGCCAACTGACTTGTTTACTAAACACTGTCACCTTAAATGATGGTGCTTAGGTAGAAACACTGCAAACACCCCCGCACCCCCACCCCCTACCCACGCTGAGATGTGGCTGCCTGTCCAGAGATGAAATCTGCTTGAGTAAAGCCATATACATTACAGCAAGCATTCCAGATTCTTAAAAGGACCAAACACTTTGGTATTAATACATGTATTCCCTGTTCTCAAATATACAAAATATACATTTCCAGTTTGTTTTTTTTCTTTATATATATAGTTAAGTTTGTAGTTTAAAATTTTGCCAAACGAACTGCAGAAGGTCAGTGTGAGTTGCATAGGCGAGGCAGGCCCGCAGCGGCGGCGGCGGCTCAGTTCTGGTGCCTCTTCATGTGCAGGGCCAGGTGGTCGGAGCGGGAGAAGCTGCGGTTGCACACCCCGCACTGGAAGGGCTTGGCGCCCGTGTGCTTTCGGTAGTGGCGGGTCAGCTCGTCCGAGCGCGCAAACCTCCAGTCGCAGCCTTCCCAGGTGCACTTGTACGGCTTTTCACCTGTGACAATGAACCAAGAGAGGTGAGGTGGCCTGCATGCAAGACAAACATTTTTTTAAAATCGTGGTCCAGGAGAAGGAAGGTTCATGAATTCCATTATGAACTAAACTCCCTCCAGGTAATCTAGTGAAGGAAGTCACTGTTTCATAGGCTAGTATTAACCTAATGATATAAAGAAAACAAGTATTCTGTGTAACTTTAAAGAACGAGAAAATGGCAATTTAAACATGCACGATGAATCAGTCCTCTTATTTTTATGTACTGCTCCTGTGCATATAAATCCATGAAATGACTACATGAGCTTGGATGGTTTTATCATTACTGTGTGAATAGAATCTCTATACCCCACAAACCCAAATTAAATTAGTATAGGACTAAGGGCTATAAGATGGGAGGAAAAAATTCGGGAGCTACTCAAATCACCAACATAATGAATTTAATGTACCACAACTGCAGTCCTTTACTTCAAACTGGCCCTAAATGTTTCTGAATTAGCCAAACTTCCAGCACATAAACCAGTTCACTTGGACACACAGCCTCTAGAATGGACAATTAGGGCACTCACTCTTTGATATTCACTCTAGCACATACATTCATACCTGCCCATTTTTCAGATTAAAGCAAAACAAAGCTAGAAAAATATTAAAGCTGAATGGTGTTAAAGCTTTATGCATTTGATAGTTAGATTCCTCAACCAGATCAAGAAGTCCAGTAACGATGACTTCATGTTGGTGAAGAGCCCTGAAACACCCATAATAATTCTAACATTTGCTGATATATGCATTTAATTTTTCTTTGTAATGCATTACACGAAAAAGATTATCAAAATTCATTCCATAAGTGATTTGCCAAGTGTCTACTCTATGCCAGGCACTGCCCTGAATGCTTACGATTGATACACGTCAATAAAACAAAAAAATGCCTGGCCTCATGGAGCTTACATGTGTGATATATATTTTAAAAGTCTCTAATCATTCTCTCTACCTATTCTTTCACAGCTCTCTTCATTTAAATAGTGAAACTGGCATCGAGCCCCCCACCCCACCCCACCATTATTCTTTTTTTTTTTTTTTTTTTTTTTAAAGATTTTATTTTTTTTTTTTTTCCCCCAAAGCCCCAGTAGATAGTTGTGTGTCATAGCTGCACATCCTTCTAGTTGCTGTGTGTGGGACGCGGCCTCAGCATGGCCAGAGAAGCAGCGCGTCGGCGCGAGCCCGGGATCCGAACCCGGGTCGCCAGCAGCGGAGCGCGCTCACTTAACCACCAAGCCACGGGGCCGGCCCCCCACCATTATTCTTAATGTTGTCTAAAGTTTGTTAGTTGCTAATCTTTCAACACCACTTTTTAGAATGCAATCTAAACTCCCAGTTTTAGAACTAACTAATCCTATTTAATTGAGATCATGTATTCCCCTAAATAAATCCCAAAACCTAAGAATCTTTCACTGAGCACTAACAGGTAGTTCCTATATTTATGCTGTATTTTGTTATAATTTTCTATGAATGTTAGTTCAAGATGAGAGTTTGTGAGATAAATTTGCATATTCAAGTACTGTTGGTGTACAGCTGAATTTTATATGGATACCTTTTAAAACTCTGAATAGTCAAACTCCTAAATTCCTTAAAAAAACATTGTCTTCTGAAAGGGAAGAACCTCAGAGTTGCTTTGAACAGTCATTACTTCGTACCACAATGACATTCAACAGCCTTTCTGCCTGATTTAGCAGTATCATATTCAGGAAGTTGTAAGATTACTCAACTGAGTCCAAATTTTAAAAGACACTGTCCACATCAACTGAGATTTCTATAGTTTGCGGTTAATATATTTTTGCTGTCCTGATACCCCGTCTGATTCAAACAAAATCTCATAAGGACAAAGAAGAAAGGGCCAGAATAGCCCTTTGAAATTTGTACTAATTATTTCTCACGCGATTTCTCTGTCAACTCCGATGGCACACATCCCCGAACCACCTTTCCTCTCTCCTCTCCTCTGGCTTGGAACCAAGACACAAACATTTTTATTTCTTTAATTCTTTTTTTGGTTCCTATCACTCCGTTTTAAAAATACACATCTCAATTTCTGAAGTATTTTTTTCTCATAGTAAATTCTAAGAATTTAAGCTAATACACTCAAACCTTTTAAGTAACATAATAAACCACTTTTCACTTATATTCACATAGAATCTGTTTAATACATAGAAATATTCTAATAGTAGTAGTAAATGTAGCAATCACTCTTGACGTAAATCAAACAGAAAAAAATTACTTTTTGCACAGTGTTTGTTTTTGTTCCTTGTGAAAAATAAATCACCAAAACAAACATGTTGGCTAAATACTTTACTGTCATTTAATGGAAAGAGAAAGTTATTTCTGATGTCTGAGGCAAGGTAAAAAAAATTCCTCAAGTGCCCCAATTTTGAAAGAAATCATTCTAGTCTTTTGAATTTAATAATTAAATAGCGAGAGAACTGAATTTTCAGAGTTTATTTAAGGAACAAGGGACACTAGACTCTTTTTGTTCACTATTTTTATTGGCTATGAAGCAATAAACTGCACCAGTATTTTTTAAAGTTTACTTTACTGATTGGTTGAAAAACGGTAGCCATTAAAGTTTCTAAAACATTTGGGGTTTTTCTCTCAATTTATGCACATCTATAGATTATTCAGCCAAGAACGCTACCAGTGTCTGGGACACTAGTTACAGGGCCAAGTCTTGACTGTAGAAGCAAGGACAGCTACTCCCCACTTGCTGCACTTTCCACGGCATTTGTTCAAGTGTCAACACCGCTCAAGGAAAACACCGTAGAGGAAGCTGCTACCCCATTTCTGGCCAAACAGCAGATTCGGGCCTTTCTTCCTCAGCCAGAAACACTATGCATGGTACTTCTGGGAAACCAAACTGACTTCCTTTAAGTTGTTTCAACAGGATAGAGCTTTCAAAAGTTTAATTGGATTTTTACAGAATCTCCGTCCAATACCACCAATTTAAAATATTTAGTTAAATGCTTTCAACATCAACTGTATTTTTAAGTTCTCATGCTGTTAATGTGAAACTTTCCAAAGGCAAGAAAAAAAGTGACAAGTTTGCATAGCATGGAAAACAAGCTTCAACTTTATCTCAAATAAAATATACATTTTCTCATTCTATTCTAAAATTACTAGGAATATTTTGCTAGGAATCCCCAACCTTTTAAAAAAATATTCAGGTTAAACATACATACTATCCATAGTCAAGTCAATTAATATAGTTTATAAAAATGTTAAGCAAACACATTACCAGTAAAAGGAGGGAGCAGGCACAAATATCCGTTGAGCACACACTCCGGAGTTGGGTACTTCGCATTATTTCACTTAATCCTCATGATAACTCCATGAGTTAGAAGCAAACGAGTTTCACATTAAGAATCCTAGCCTGCTACTTTCCTTCAATGCCCTACTAACATCCTCCATTAGCAAACACTAATACACTCTATATGAATGATTTAAGGAACACATAGATATTGTTCAAATTTATTTAAAGATTCTAAAGCCACTTGTGAAGGTCAGTTAAGGAACAGCTTAATGGACTCAGAGCAGGTTAAACCGACTGTCTGAAGCAAAGGGCGGCCCCGGCTGAGCCAGTCCTCAGTGGAGCCCCACCTTTCAGGACATGTGGGGTCCTTAAAACTGTTCTGTCCTGGTATTCACAATCCCCCAAGTATCACCTAATAATGGTTCCTCTTTACTTCAGGCTAAGTGAATTTCGGTGGGTTAGCAGAACATGTTTGCTGCAAAGTATTCGCAACATCTTTTAGCGATGAACTAAAAAACAATCACTTATCTATTTTTTCTCCTCTGATGAAGAGATAAAAAAAGACTTTTGAGCCTAGCACAATAGAATGGGAGGTTTCTCTGCTCTGCTGAACATATTCAATAGGCTCATACCAAGGCCTTTCTCTAGAATGTTCTACATAGATTCTTCTAACAAAAGAAAAATGTCCTAGATGAAAATATTTATCTTAGAATAGTTATTTTAGGTAACTTTTTAAAAGTTTACTACAGCATATTTGCACATCTGGTTTCCTTCCTGATGGCTAGAAGATAATCCTATCATTATATCTGAAAGAGGCTGAAAACCATCAGCATCAAAGTCAATGTTTAGTAAATGAGAGGGTAACCTGCACTAACTGACTTGCAAAACAGCAAATAAGACTTGGTTTCTGGCCTCAGAGAACTTAAAATCCACATCCTATTCTGAGACTCAAAATAATGCAAACTGTTCAAGTGGAATAATTTATTTCAATAGTTAGTATTTAATCTTAATTCTTAGAATTTAAGAGTCCTTGAAGCTCAAAATGAGCTCTTATTTCAAGAGGAAAATATTTTCATGCAATTCAATAATTAGATTTTTTTCCATCATTAGAGACTTACTGGAATTTAGAATCTGAAACAGTCGCTATATATTCTAATAAAGGTAAAAAATAGGACACATTAATCCTAAGATTAAAGAAATTCATGGGGAAATATTAGATATCTTAAAAAAACCAGATACAGTAGGATGATTTTGGCTCATTAATTCATATTTTTATATACTTATGCTAGTAATTTTCCACTTAAAAAATCTTTTTATTAAAGCTCATTGTAGCATATCTCCTGCACTTGGAACCGAAGGGTAGGAGTTCATTTCAAAGATTAGTACTATGAGGATTTACAAAACGCATCTAATATTTACTAGATATAGAATCCCTGTTAATAATGTACTAGCTTTAAGGATATTTACTAGATATAGAATCCCTGTTAATAATGTACTAGCTTTAAGGAAACTAATTAAAAGGATGCATTAAGAAAGAAACTTCCCTCTTTCTACCTGTTGGTCAATTCCTGTTGGTCCCTTTCTTTAAAATCTGATTCACCTTACTCCTTCCAGAAAACCTCTGAACAGTCCAGGAGATCATTCCACTTCTTTGTATTCTCATCAACACTTAAATTCGTTCCGAACGCTTGATTTGCTTGATTTGCACA